ATATTTCTCCCAAAATCTTGATTCCAGCTTGTGCTTCATCTACCCTGGCATTTCACTTGATATGGAGCTCAGTCAGTTAATCATCCACATGCAATGCAGGAGACCCAGGTTCGATTCCTGGGTCAGGAAAATCCACTGAAGTAGGAAATGGAAACCCACTCCAGTACTCTTGCCTAGAAATAAAATGGACAGAGGAGCCTGGTGGGTTACAGACCATGGGGTCACAAGAGTCGGACACTACTTAGCAACTAAATCACCACCACCCTGCATATAAGTTAAATAAGCAGGGTGACAATATACAGCCTTGATGTACTCCTTTTCCTATTTGGAACCAGTCTGTAGTTCCATGTATAGTTCTAACTGTTGCTTTTTGACCTGCATACAGATTTCTCAGGAGGTAAGTAATGTGGTCTGGTACTGCCATCTCTTTCAGAATTTTCCACAATTTATTGTGATCCACACAGTCAAAGGCTTTGGAATAGTCAATACAGCTGAAGTAGATGTTTTTCTGGCACTCTCTTGCTTTTTAGATGATCCACCAGATGCTGGCATTTTGATCTCTGGTTCCTCTGCCTTTTCTAAATCTAGCTTGAACATCTGGAAGTTCACGGTTCATGTATTGCTGAAGCCTGGCTTGGAGAATTTTGAGCATTAGTTTGATAACGTGTGAGATGAGTGCAATTGTGCAGTAGTTTGAGCATTCTTTGGNGTGTTTGCTATGACCAGTGTGTTCTCTTGGCAAAACTCTGTTAGCCTTTACACTGCTTCATTTTGTACTCCAAGGCCACATTTACCTGTTACTTCAGGTAGCTTTTATCTTCCTGCTTTTGCATCCCAGCCCCTTAGATTGAAAAGGACATCTTTTGGGAGTGTTAGTTCTAGAAGGTCTTGTAGGTCTTCACAGAGCCATTCAGCTTCAGATCTTCAGCATTACTGGTCGGGGCATAGACTGGACTACTGTGATATTGAATGATGTGCCTTGGAAACCAACAGAGATCATTCTGTCGTTTTTGAGATTTACCCCAAATACTGCATTTTGAACTCTTTTTTTGACTATCATATCTACTCCATTTCTTTTAAGGGATTCTTGCCCACAGTTGTAAATATAATGGTCATCTGAATTAAAGTCACCCATTCCAGTCCATTTTAGTTCACTGATTCCTAAAATATCGACATTCACTCTTGCCATCTCCTGTTTGACCACTTCCAATTTGCCTTGATTCATGGACCTAACATTCCAGGTTCCTATGCAATACTGCTCTTTACCACATCCAACTTTACTTCCATCACTGGTCGCATCCACAGCTGGGTGTTGTTTTCACTTTGGCTCTGTCTCTTCATTCTTTCTGCTGTTACTTCTCCACTCTTCTCCAGGAGCATATCAGCCACCTACTAACCTGGGAAGTTCATCCTTCAATGTCATATCTGTTTGCCTTTGCATACTGTTCATGGGGTTCTCAAGGCAAGAATACTGAAGTGGTTTGCCATTCCCTTCTCCAATGGACCACGTTTTGTCAGACCTCTCCACCATGACCTGTCTGTCTTGGGTGGCCCTACATGGCAGGGCTCATAGTTTCATTAATTAATTATTCTTTTCCAGTATCCAGTTTTTCTTTATTTCTCAGTACACAGGAGATTATACCTCCCCACTCCCTTGAAATTAGAGTGGTGATACTATTATTACCTATGCCAGCGCATTGTGAGCAGTTTACACTGCACAGCTCTACATATGGAAAAGATAAATTGTTTCACTCTCACCTCATAAGAGACACAAAGGTAAATTCCAGGTGTACTAACAAAAGTCTGTCTATTAAAACAAGCAAAAAAAAAAAAAAACTGAGGAAAATAAATGAGACTGTCTATCTGTCATCAAGATAGGGAAGGATTTTTTAAAAACATTATACAAAAAAAAAATGTGCATCTCTACACATATATTTATAGCTACAAATCAAGAAAAAATAACTCTCAAGAAGAATATGGCCAAAGAAAATGGGCTTTCATTAACATTCCTTTCTCCCAATTCTTCATCTTTTTTCCTATAATTTTCAAAGATTCAGAAATGCTTTCTTGCATCAATTCATGGAAGAGACACTGTTAGCTGGATGTGTTCTAGACATTGTTGTAAGGGTTGGGGCACAGGCCTTTTTCACCTCTTGAAGTTCTTCATGCCCATGAATACTTCATCCTAAAGCCGAACCCAAGAAGACATAGTACATAACTCAACAAGGTATAATTTCCAAATATTGTTGATTATGGACAAAATATGATTCCACTAACCTTTTGATCATTCTAGTTTTTCTATATAATTTTACAAAAATATCAGTAATCTAAATGAATTTGTAGTTGGAGTGGGTCACAAAATGTAGAAGAGTGAAATGGAATATTATTAGGTTCCACTCACCCTACAAACTCCAGTTTGCCTTTTTGTAGTCCATAACTCATAATAAACAGTAGATTGAGCAAGGCAATGTTGATGTGCCACTCCAGGATTTACACTGAGTTAACAAGAATTACTGGAAAAATTAACAAAGCCATTATAACTGAGTTTTTGTGTGGACTCACCCCCAAAACTTTAACTTCCTTTATGACTTCTTTTTTTCACCCAAATTTTCTCCCCATATTTCTTTTCAGTGGACCTACTCTGAGATCAGTATTAGCCCCAACCTTCTAGTGTCTTCTATTTTTATTACGTTATAATAATAATGTAGAAGGGAAGGTAGATGTTGCTTTAATGTTTGCTTTTCTCTCTTATTTTTATTCTTTCTCATCAGTTCAGTTCAGTCCCTCAGTCATGGCTGAGTCTGTGACTTCATGGACTACAGCACACCAGGTTTCCCTGTCCATCACCAACTCCTAGAGCTTGCTCAAACTTATGTCCATTGAGTTGGTGATACCATCCAACCCTCTCATCCTCTGTCATCCCCTTCTCCACATGCCTTCCATCTTTCCCATCATCAGGGTCTTTTCTTTTTCTTTTTTTTTTTCATTTATTTTTATTAGTTGGAGGCTAATTACAATATTGTAGTGGTTTTTGCCATACATTGACATGAATCAGCCATGGATTTACATGTATTCCCCATCCCAATCCCCTCTCCCACCTCCCTCTCCATCCCATCCCTCTGGGTCTTCCCAGTGAACCAGCCCCAAGCACTTGTCTCATGCATCCAACCTGGGCTGGTGGTCTGTTTCACCCTTGATGGTATACTTGTTTCAGTGCTGTTCTCTCAGAGCATCCCACCCTTACCTTCTCCCATAGAGTCCAAAAGTCTGTTCTGTACATCTGTGTCTCTTTTTCTGTTTTTAATGATATAGGGTTATCATTACCATCTTTTTAAATTCCATATATATGCATTAGTATACTGTATTTGTCTTTATCTTTCTGGCTTACTTCACTCTGTATAATGGGCTCCAGTTTCATCCGTCTCATTAGAACTGATTCAAACGAATTCTTTTTAATGGCTGAGTAATATTCCATTGTGTATATGTACCAAAGCTTCTTTATCCATTCATCTGCTAATGGGCATCTAGGTTGCTTCCATGTCCTGGCAATTATAAACAGTGCTGCGATGAACATTGGGGTACACATGTCTCTTTCAGATCTAGTTTCCTCGGTGTGTATGCCCAGGAGTGATATTGCTGGGTCATATGGCAGTTCTATTTCCAGTTTTTTAAGAAATCTCCACACTGTTCTCCATAGCGGCTGTACTAGTTTGCATTCCCACCAACAGTGTAAGAGGGTTCCCTTTTCTCCACACCCTCTCCAGCATTTATTGCTTGTAGACTTTTGGATAGCAGCCATCCTGACTGGCGTGTAATGGTACCTCATTGTGGTTTTGATTTGCATTTCTCTGATAATGAGTGATGTTGAGCATCTTTTCATGTGTTTGTTAGCCATCTGTATGTCTTCCTTGGAGAAATGTCTGTTTAGTTCTTTGGCCCATTTTTTGATTGGGTCATTTATTTTTCTGGAGTTGAGCTGGAGGAGTTGCTTGTATATTTTTGAGATTAATCCTTTGTCTGTTGCTTCGTTTGCTATTATTTTCTCCCAATCTGAGGGCTGTCTTTTCACCTTGCTTATAGTTTCCTTTGTTGTGCAAAAGCTTTTAAGTTTCATTAGGTCCCATTTGTTTATTTTTGCTTTTATTTCTGAAATTCTGGGATGTGGGTCATAGAGGATCCTGCTGTGATTTATGTCGGAGAGTGTTTTGCCTATGTTCTCCTCTAGGAGTTTTATAGTTTCTGGTCTTACATTTAGATCTTTAATCCATTTTGAGTTTATTTTTGTGTATGGTGTTAGAAAGTGTTCTAGTTTCATTCTTTTACAAGTGGTTGGCCAGTTTTCCCAACACCACTTGTTAAAGAGGTTGTCTTTTTTCCATTGTATATCCTTGCCTCCTTTGTTGAAGATAAGGTGCAGTCCTTCCAATGAATATCCACGATTGATTTTCTTTAGGATGGACTGGTTGGATCTCCTTGATGTCCAAGAGACTCTCAAGAGTCTTCTCCAACACCACAGTTCAAAACCATCAATTATTTGGCACTCAGCTTTCTTTATTGTCCAACTCTCACATCTATACATGACTACTGGAAAAACCATAGCTTTGACTAGACGGACCTTTGTTGGCAAAGTAATGTCTCTGCTTTTTAATATGCTGTCGAGGTTGTCTTCTTAGGAGTAACTGTCTTTTAATTTCATGGCTGCATTCACCATCTGCAGTGGGGACTGTTATTTTCTTATATTATTGTTACCAATATTTATTTGTTCAGAAATAACTGGGTTTTTTTTTTTTTTTCACTTTTACTTACACTACATCAAGATAAACCACTGCATTGTCTTTATGTTAATGTATTAATAAGTTATGCCAAGTTTTATTGTGAAATTGTAAACTATTTTGGTTCAAATATTTGGAGAGTAAAATTTTATAAAGGCTTGTTGATTGATGTGGTGAAGAAATATTTGCATGCATAATTAATTGTAATTCTGTGCCTCTTTTCCACAGGAGAGAATGCTTAAATTTCACCAAGTGAAACATATTTTTGATATACTAGATAAAATGCGATGCCTGCGAAAACGTTCTACAGTCTCATTCTTGGGAGTTCTTGTCATTTTCCTTCTGTTTATGAACTTGTACATTGAAGATAGCTATGTTATGGTAAGTCGTGGAGGTTGATTACTTTTTGTTCAAAGTAAGGCCTAAGTCAAACAAGACAGTCCACTTGCAACGTAACTTCAGTCCCAGGATATTGAAATAGTCTTAGTTTGAGCAAAATTATAACATATATCTTTCCCATCTAGCTACTTTTTATATTAATTATATATTGCCAACATTATAATTTTTTTGGCTCATGTTGCAATGTTTTACTTAATGGTATATGCTATATTTAATGCAAATCCACACATCTAATTACAAATAAGTTAACTATCATCCCTATCTGAATTAACTGTATGTGTGTGTGTGTGCCTAGTCCCTCAGTCATGTCCAGCTCTTTATGACCTCATGGACTGTAGCCCACCAGGATCCTCTGTCCATGGGGTTCTCCAGGCAAGACTACTGGAATGACTTGTCAGTTCCCTCTCCAGAGGATCTTCCTGATGCAGGGATGGAACCCATATCTCCTGCATTGACAGGCAGATTCTTTAGCACTGAGCCACCAGGGAAGCTGATAGTAGTATATATTACATATTTATTGAAAAAAAATACACTTATAAGTGGAATTGACAGAGTCACCTGTAAACAGACTAAACAAATTTTTATAGATATTACTCCTTACTTTCTTTACTTTTCTATATTATCAAAAATTTTCAAGTCCTATTGTCTAATTAATTATACTAATTGTGCTATTTTGTTAAGAAGGAATGCCTTATTAATGTGTGACATCTCATTTGGATCTTGAATAGCTGTAAATGACCACCATGTTTTACCCTTATAGTCACTGAAAAGTAATAAAGAACTTCAAGAACTAAAGATAATAATGTGAAAACTATTCAATAGTTTAAAACAGGTAAAATTAGTAAGTTAGTAGATTTTCTCCCCATGTCTGGCAGCACGCAGGTATCTTAGTCCTCTGTGCATGCACGCAAGCTAAGGTGCTTCAGTCATGTCTGACTCTTTATGACCCTTTGGGGCCTTCCAGGCTCCTCTGGCCATGGGAGTCTCCAGACAAGAATACTGGAGTGGGTTTCCATGCCCTCCTCCAGGGGATCTTCCTGACCCAGGGATCAAACTCATATCTCTTGTGTCTCTTGCATTGGCAAGCAGGTTCTTTATGCCTAGAGCCACATTAGAAGCCCCCAACCAGGGATCAAACCCATGTCCCCTGCAATGGAAGTGTGGAATCTTAGCCTCTGAAGAAACTTACTAATGATATGCACTGGGGCACCAAGGAAGCCCCTAATATTATGGTGTGGTTTTTTTTCTTCTTGTGGGAGTGGGGTGGTTTTTTTTGGCCTCACCACACAATTGTAGATACTTAGTTCCTGACCAGGGATTAAACCCATGCTCTCTGCAATGGAAGCACAGACACTTAACAACTGGGCTGCCAGGGAAGTTCCCTGAATGCATTTTAAGTGAATTATGAAAGTATACAAAAAGACACATTCTGACTAATCGTGAGAACTCAATATGTCTCTATTATTTATTTTTGTTATTATTGTCACATAATTCATGTCTAATGAGAATAATTATGGACATTATTTCTTATTTACTTTTTCCATCATAATTGATGTTAAGATATCTGGGAAAATTCTAATACTTGTACAGTTATTCCTGTTTACATATTTCAGAAAATCAAAGCCTTTGAACATACAGCGGACTGGAAAATACTTTCTTTCATACAAGCATGCTGAAAACTTTCAATTAATATCTTAACTAGAGAGACTCTGACAACAACTTCAAAGATCATTTCCTAGTAAAATGTTTTCTTTTATTAATTGAAAATGATTTAGTAACTACCAGTTACTTGCCAGATACTCTTCTATATCCTACAAGCCAATCAAATGATCTTAGTTGGTACAGATTTTCTTAGGAGGTCTTCTGTAAAGCATCTTGCTCCCTTAGCATTGTTCTTTGATGGTGAAATTCTGTCACCTTCCTAGATCTTAACTCTGCCTATGTCTTTTACCTTCAATTACATGTTTATTCTTATGGGCTTTTACCTTCAAGTATAGGTTTAATTCTACCATCCTTAGTCAATTTACCATATTGAAGGTACCACAGTTAATAGAATTTGACTAGGCTTGATCTAGTTAAACATAGCAAACTGGAAAGACTTACTAATGATATGCATTTTAGACTTTTTTAACCTGACTGTTGGGTTTATGAAATTTAAGGACAATAGAGCAAGACCTAGGTGATCCAGATTAGGAGAATTGAAGATTGTAAATTAATTAGAGGAGCTCTTGATTAATTATTTAATTTTGTAATAAACATTTATTTCTTGCATCTATGTGTACTGGTAAAAGTAAATCATGTCTTATAAATCAAAAACATGGTATTGGTAAGATGCTTGTTGCATCTAGTGATGTTAAGACTCTTTCAAGTGCAATTTCAATATTTAACTTTAAGTAGACAAAATATTATTATATGCAGCAAACATCCTTATGTCTTTTTGGAAGAGAACCACTTCAAATTAACCATAAAATGTATAAGAAGTAATAGAGTACATATCCATAAGAAGATCAAATGCTATTTCTCTGTTTATACATTTATGTCTAAACATTAGTCCTACCCACATTATTTAAAAGTGTGATTTAATGAAGTAGCTCTTACTAAAGAGTACTTTCTCAATGAAATCTGGCTATATTAGCCATATACCACCAGAGAAGCCCATATATATCTAATCAGATTTGCAAATCATCCCAGGTACAGAGAAAAGATTGCTTCTTAGCTTAAAAAACTGAACTTATTTTTAAATATTTACCTTATGTTAGAAAAAGTGAATTAAAATGGATGGTAAATATAAAAGGATTCCTCCATTTTGAAAATTTAGTGACAATATTTTTATTAGTTTAAATATTCACTCTTTACTAGAGGATGTTTTCTACTAAATTACATTTTGAACTAAATTTTATCCCAAGGCTTAATATGTATAAACTTTTAAATATTCATTATCATTCATGTACAATTACATTAAAATTGTTCTTCTCAATGTGTTAATACCCATGAAAAACTGGCCTCTGAGTTGTGGCGTGAGGAACCTAGTTCTCTGACACAAGATTGAACCCCAGCCCCCTACGTTGGGAGCACAGTCTTAACCACTGGACCACCAGGGAAGTCCCCTGTTTTTCTTAAATTGGGAGGAGATTGTAGTTATAATTCAGAGAACTCAGATAAACAATTATAGTCATAAGGCCTCTAGGGTTATTTAGCACATGTATTCTCCTCTTCTTACTAGAGAATCCATCAACGGCCCCAAATCCCGGGCGTATAACAGCTTAGTGTATTGCTTACATGATGGAGGCATATGTGCCTTTCAGTAGGAAAGAAAGCCAAGTTCAGTGTAATAGACAAATTGTGTTACAACGCAAAGTAAGTAGAAGAGACACTGCATGCCCAATCAACTTAGCCTCTCAGCTGTGAGCATCTTCAAAGTAGCCACTAGGGTATATATTTAGCCTGTAGCTAGTCCATTGAATTTCATTCCCATCCAGAAAATGATTGTCATAAAGCTTTGTCTTATTACTGAAAAATACACTACAGCATAGTAGCTATAGAAAGAAGGTATCCAGGGAGAGCCTGGCTATTCAGGTAGATGCTTCTGGAAAGCAGCCAACAAGGCTGACTCAGGTGAAAGTTGCATTATTTATTTATGCTGAAAGATGTAAAGACTTGGTCTTGAGAATTTAATAAAGTGCTTTCATATGTCTCATTTCATCTTATATTCTGTTATGTCCTTCAATCAGGATGAATGTACTCTATCTTATCACAGAAAAGGTCTAGATTTTTACATGTTCAAGATAGAATTCTTAAAGAGATATTCAGTATCCTGCACTTCCTTTAGAATGTGACATCACATAAGAACAGAATGGTAAAATGAATTCAGTATTGTGATTACTGCATGATTTTATAAATATATTTTCTAGATCCTATTAAATATGGACATCACATTTACTATTAAAGTAACTAATGCAAAATTGAGTCTCCAGTTACCTTTTGAAAATACTGTTTGTTCATTTAAAAACTTTCATGATTTTTTTCAGGTTTTCAGAAATACAAAGATGAAAATATTTATGTGCAATGAATTTAAAACAATTAGAATTCAATGGATATTAATTAGTACATTTATACAACTAGCCTCCCAAGTTTAATGTCATGTATTTTAAAATGTTGTAACTTATAGATGGCAAACACATTATAAATCAGAATAAAGTATTTTTCTTTGTCCAAATTATCAAGGCAATATAAAATATAGAAATACAGTATTAAAAAGCAAATATAGGTTCATAAACATACAGAAAAGATATACAAAATGCGTATTCATTTATCAAGGACCAGATTGAAAGCTCTTGCCAGTCAATGTTCACTATTTCAACTTTTATTCTAAGACAATTTCAGCCTGGCCATAGATTTAAAACTTTGAGTTAGTCACCTTTTCCATTGATATTTGAATTTGAAATAAAGCGGTAAATGTTCCAATTAAAGTAAAATTTGTATTTGAATCCATTCTAATATTTTAGGACAATGTTTAATTGATTAAAGTTTTATTGACCACAGTCAACTTGTATGAGGACCAAATTTACTTAATACATTCACTTTCTCTGTTGTCTTAATGGCATTGCTCATACCTGACCTGCCAATCATATGCTGAATAGTCAAAATATCCACCAAACTCACACAGCACAATAGAAACTTTGCCAGAAAAGAAAAAAAAAATCTAATTAGGTTGTCCTAATATTCTACCAGTGATAATAAACCATATACGAAAGTCAAGCAGGTCATCATCAGGCTTGTTCAAATGATGATTAGATAATCAAAATCTACAACTGAATTTATATCAGAGGGAGATAAAAGGAAGCAATTAATTGTTAGCAGGATATTTTTAAGCTGAATAAGAATATCTTTTTGAATATAAACCATCCTGAAGATTGTATGACATAATTCCATTATCAAATTGATACTAAAGTTTTTAAATATAAAAGAACTAAACTTCACTTTCATCAGGACACTCCCTCTCCCTCTCTACACTCACAAACAACAAGCAAGCATCATGGAAAAGACCTGTACCAGATCTAAAGCCATTTCTTTGAACACTTGTTACAAATGTCTCCGAATCGAGATATCTTGAAGATATTTGTAAAAAATACTATCATTTCACAAAGACCGTGGCTGTCCATTCTCAACAGCCTTCCATTATAATGCTACATAAGTGACTGACTGAAAGTTCTTGATTAATAAGTTATTCAAACTCCAAGTATTATGTTCACTGTTGCGTCCTTCTAATCATTCCCAAAATTTCAAAATCTTAGAAATAATGTGTGGCCTTTTATTTAACAGGACTTGAAGAAGAGTAAGTAGTTTAATATGATTCAGATATGGGGAATCTAGTGAGAATTAGCTTTACATGAAACTGTGAAAGATCACTGTCAAGTTTGAAGATTCTTGTAAAGAATTTTAATTTTAATATGAAGGCACTGGGAGTTTTCAATTTTATTTTTTAGCAAGAGAATGCCATTATTAATGTATGCTTTAGAAAAGCAACTGTACGCATAAAATAAAAAGTGGAAAATAGTGAACAGAATCTAGAATTCAGGTGAAAAATAATTATCTACAGCTTCTAATGCCAGTAATTGATATTTATATAATACCCATGTTAAAGACTCTTGAGAGTCCCTTGCACTGCAAGGAGATCAAACAAGTCAATCATAAAGGAAATCAACCTTGGATATTCATTGGAAGGACTGCTGCTACAACTGAAGTTCCAATACTTTGACCACCTGATGCAAAGAGCCAACTCATTGGAAAAAACCCTGCTGCTGCTGCTGCTAAGTCGCTTCAGTTGTGTCTGACTCTTTGCGACCCCAGAGACGGCAGCCCACCAGGCTCCTCCATCCATGGGATTGTCCAGGCACGAGTACTGGAGCGGGTTGCCGTTTCCTTCTCCAGACCCTGATGCTAGAAAAGATTGAAGGCAAGAGGAGAAGGGGATGACAGAGGATGAGATGGGTAGATGGCATCACAGCACCAACTCAATGGACGTGAGTTTGAGCAAGCTCTGGGAGATGGTGAAGGACAGGGAAGCCTGGTGCGCTGCAGTCCATGGGGTTGCAAAGAGTTGGACAGGACTGAAGAACAACAACAACATATTGTATATCAGATATATATACCCATTATGTGTGTGTGTGTGTGTGTGTGTGTGTATACACATTATTGTGTAAGGAGAAAGTTTATTTAATCCATGACTATCTGTTATTTCTCTCTTCCTCCTTCTTGACATTCAGGAAGGAGACAAACAGATTTTAAGGGAAACATCTACACATCAGCTGAGTCCAGAACACTACATGCATACTTTCAAAGATTTGTCTAATTTCTCAGGAGCCCTCAATGTCACCTATCGCTACTTAGCTGTCATGCCTTTACAAAGAAAGCGTAAGTAAAGTATACTTATACTTTTAAAATCAAGAACAATAAAATACTTTGTTTTAAAATAATGATAATATGCTTCATTTGTATAACAATAAATTTACTAAATAAATATATATTTATATATTACTTTACTAAATAATATAAATTTTGGGAAACATTCAGTGTTTCTTCACAAATTCAATTATTCACCAATCCAATTTCATTAATAACAACACCAAAAAAATTAAATGCCTAATTGTGGCATAAAGTTTTAACAGTTTGCTATAGAATTCACGTAGGGAGACTAGAAAAAAGCAATTCACTTTAACTTTTTTGAATTAGCTTTTAAAAATAATTATTCCCACAGTGATACATTTTCAAACATTGGTTTTATGACATGCCACCAGTTTGAAGTAGTGAAAGTCATTGTGTTTGTTTCCTAAGATATCATAAAAAATTATCACAAACTAGGTGGTTTGAAACAATGGAAATTGATTCTCTCACATTTCTGGAAGCCAGAATTCAAAAACCAGGATGCTGGCAGCACCAGACTCCACCTAGAGGAGAATCCTTCCTTGCCTCTTCCAGGTGCTAGTCACACTTGGCATTCCTTGGTTAGTTGTAGCAAAACTGCAATCACTGCCACTCTCTCCACATGGCCTTCTTTGTCTCTCTATGTCCTCTTCCATCCTTATAAGGACATTAGTCATTGAATTTATGGCCCAATCTAAATCCAATATGATTTCATCCGGAGATCTTTAACTAATTGCGTCTTCAAAGACTATTTCCAAATAAGGTCGCAGTCTAAAGTTCCAGGTAGACATGAAACTTTGGAGGCAATTATTCAGTCCACTACAGGCACTTTGATCCAAGAAGTAACATACTACATTTCATGGACTTCAAGACATTATAAATTATAGAAGACATCATGATCTAATTGATGCACCACGAAGAAAGTACAAGCATCATCCATTTTAAGTTGTAAGATGCTATCAGTTGTGATATACAACTTGCATTTAAAATATTTCTGGGTGAAAAATATGTTTTAGAATCAGTGATACACAGTGATATCATGAACTTCTTAGTAGATGGTGTGGAGACCACAAAAATTGAGTTCTCTGTTAAGAAGTGCTTATGCAAGTGAGTTTGTGATCACCAGGTTGAGGAAAAATTGCAATAGTTTAGCTTTCTTTAGACCTTTTTTCCTTCCATTTCAAATGTCTACTTCTCTTAAACTTCCTCCTAATTTCAAAGACTGTCACTGTTTTTTAAAATCTCCATCTATTGTACCACCTTTGTTCACACGTTACTAATCTCTTTCCATACTAAGTTTACAAATGCGTACAGGCACGTATACCAGCTGCTTTATACTAAAGAGTCAATATAAAACAAAGTTTGTGTGTTAGTCACTCAGTTGTGTCTGACTTTTTGAGACCCTATGGACTGTAGCCCACCAGGCTCCTCTGTCCTTGGGATTCTCCAGGCAAGAATACTGGAGTGATTTGCCATTTCCTTTTCCAACTGCTTTATACTAAAGAGGTAATATAAAGCAGAGAGTAAGAGCAGGCAAGAATATTGCAGTAACTTGCCATTTCCTCCTCCAGGGGATCTTCCTGACCCAGGGATCGAACTGGTGACTCCTGTGTCTTGTGCATTGGAAGGCAGTCTTTACCACCGTGCCACCTGGGAAGCTTTGTATATTTAGCATAATTCTTTAATCACAAAATGCTCTATATATGATCATTCACTTAGATGTACTTAATAGAGTAGAAGGCCTAAGGGGAAAAGAACTTTTTTTTTCTTTTTTCTATGTTATTCAAAACCCAATTTCACCTTTAATTTGTCTTCATTCTGGATTCTTTTGTTCAGGATTTCTTACAATTGGACTTTCATCAGTGAGACGAAAAAAAGGAAGCTATTTACTTGAGACAATCAAGTCAATTTTTGAGCAATCCAGCTATGAAGAATTGAAGGAAATTTCAGTGGTGGTTCATCTAGCTGACTTTAACTCATCCTGGCGTGAGGTCATGCTGCAAGATATTACGCAGAAATTTGCCCACCATATTATTGCTGGAAGGTTAATGGTTATACATGCTCCAGAGGAATATTACCCAATCCTGAGTGGCCTTAAAAGAAATTACAATGATCCAGAAGATAGAGTCAGATTCCGTTCCAAGCAAAATGTAGATTATGCTTTTTTGCTCAACTTTTGTGCCAATATTTCATATTATTATGTAATGCTTGAAGATGATGTTCGTTGTTCAAAAAATTTCTTAACTGCCATCAAGAAAGTCATTGCATCCTTAGAAGGAACTTACTGGGTAACCCTTGAGTTCTCTAAGCTTGGCTATATTGGAAAACTTTATCATTCTCATGATCTCCCACGCTTGGCACATTTTTTATTAATGTTTTATCAAGAAATGCCTTGTGATTGGCTATTGACTCATTTCCGGAGTCTGTTAGCTCAGAAAAATGTGATTCGTTTTAAACCATCTCTCTTTCAGCACATGGGTTATTATTCATCATATAAAGGAACTGAGAACAAGTTGAAGGATGATGACTTTGAAGAGGAGCCATTTGAGCTCCCAGATAACCCTCCTGCAAGTCTATACACCAACATGAGTGTTTTTGAAAATTATGATGCAAGCAAAGCTTACAGTAGTGTTGATGACTACTTCTGGGGGAAACCGCCTTCAACAGGAGATGTCTTTGTGATTATATTTGAAAAGCCAATTGTAATCAAAAGAATTAAAGTGAATACTGGAACAGAAGATCGACAAAATGATATTTTGCATCATGGAGCCCTAGATGTTGGGGAGAATATTAGATATTTTAAACAAAATAGACAATGTATTACTTATATTAGACTAGGAGAATTCAGAAATGGAAACTTTGAAGTATCTGATGTAAATCAAAAAATTCCATTTGATATACACTGTATGAGGATATATGTTACCAAAACACAAAAGGAATGGCTGATTATTAGGAGTATTAGCATTTGGACTTCTTAGCCAATTAAATCAATGTGTCCAGTTACTGAAGCAGGTCTTCCTGTTTCCTGCGTTGCTACTTCCTCTCTTGCTCCCTTTGCCCTTTAGAGGGAAAGCAATGGATCAGATATTTAAAAAGTCAATCATTTTGGCAGTTTTGATCTACCCATTGTCAGCATACTTTTATGCACACATGTATTTTAACTTTTGAAGCTGAGTATCAGTTCATAGTTATGATTTTTTGTTTATATCTTAATGTTATTGTGTTACTTTCAAAATTTCATCTGCATGTCAAAAAGGTGACATGAAGGATTTAAAATGAGAAAACGTGGTTTGTTCAATGATGAATCTTGAAAGATAGTTCTCACTGTATGCACTTAGTCAAGAATTTATTTCATTATATCATCAGATAAATTTTATTAAGCATCTCTGTGACTATGCAGTTGGTTAGAATGATAATCTGTCTTTTTTTCTTGTAAACTTAGGTTTCCATAGACTTCTGTACATCTACAATGAATACCTCCTCATAGAAGTGATGTCTTTACAACAGAACTTTGTGTCATTGAGGTGATGAAAAGAAAAAAAGACTTAAAAATATCCTCCCCTGATTATTAATATAGGAGGGGAAATTGTTCAGTGTATAAAAATTTGAACACCTACTGTCAATAAATTTTCTGTGGGAAGCAGTCTTTTTCCAGGTTCCCTTTTGCACAAATAAAGGTTATGCTCAGTATTTTCAGGTTCCACTGGGTACCTGCATTTAATAGAAAAAAATGGAGAAGGCTATGGTTAGTCCATTCCTAATGAACATTTTCAGTATATGCAGAAAATTTTTGAAATTGATTTTATATGTTTGTATTAAAATTCATATGCTTAAAATCCTTGTGATTTATCATATACTTTTTTGGAGTTCAAATGGACATTTTATGAAGGAAGAACATAAGAAACAGAAATCAGTCATTTTTTCTACACTCATAGCGAGTCCAGGATGAGAGATCAAGTTGTTTTAATATCCAGACTATGTTCTATCTCTTAGGAAGAGATTGGGCTTCACTTAATTTATGCTTTTGTTTCTCTGGTACATGAGTCTCAGTTAAAAAGTCATTCTGTCTGAAAATAGCTTGCATAGTTTTTCCATAATTCATGCTGTCATTCTGTAAAATAATCCTAAAGTGTCCTAAATGATGCTTTTGTGATATATGCACCCAAATGGTAAGCAAACTTGTCTAAATTTTACTGTGAGGGACTTCACCATTGTGTCTATACCATAGAGTCATTAAAGCAATTCAGGACACCTACATTAGTGCATCCTAAAATCATTGTTTTTTCAGAATGTCCTGAGCTTGTCTCATCATTTTCCTTTTTGACAAACAGCAAAGATGAAGTGATTTATTGTTTATTGTTGTTCAATCATTAACTCATATCCAACTCTTTGTGACCCCCATGGACTACAGCATACCAGGCTTCCACGTCCTTCACAATCTCCCAAAGTTAACTCAAACTCATGAAGACAAATAAATATACTATTATATATGTCAATGTACAATGTATACAATATGGAGAGATAGATGAACTACCAGACTTGGGATAATGAGAAGACATAAGGAATTCCTCTTCTTTTTTCCATCCTGAAACAAAATTCTTAGGAATTACTTGTATGATAGAGTCCAGGAAAAGACTGGAAAATATTTTGTTAATTCTATTCAAATAAATTAAATTAGAAACTCAGATAAAATTATTGGGAATTTTTTAATTGATACAATAGCTAATGTGTACTTTCTTTGCACATGGTTGCTACAGTATTAGAGAAAACAATGAATCTATAATATTCTGTGGCACATTTAAGTGTCAAAGTCATAAGAAAAATACTGCCACTAAACTGCCAAACAGGAGACATAAGAGATGCAGGTTGGATCCTTGGGTCAGGAAGATCCCCTGGAGAAGGAAATGGCAGCCCAACTCTAGTATTCCTGCCTAGAGAATTCCATGGACTGAGGAGCTGGGTGGGCTACGGTCCATAGCGTCACAAAGAGTAGGACACTACTGAAAAGAGTTAGCACACACGCCTGCCACTAAACTATTACCTTTATTTTGATTTGGAGGATGCTTGCCAGATACTTAAAGATACTCCATATTCCTGACTTTTCACACTCTCTTTTATTACCTGGCTAATTGTATAATATTCTACACATACCTTAGAAATTAGAAATAACCTTTCATTCTGTGCTATCAAGGATAAAAGTGCACAACATAGACATATAATACCAAGACCTAGGTAGACTCCATGAGGTGATTTTTTAACTTTTACGTATTCTTCCAAAAGTGTTTACAAAGATGAACCATTGACATTAAATCCTGGAAAATACCTCAAGAAACATTACTTAATTGGAGTTTTGCTGGAAAATTACAAATGCAAATGTGAACTACTGAGGTCACATTTCATCTTAAATTTGAGCCTTTCATTACTAAAACTGGGATTGCCTGAGCTGATCAATCACCTAAGAATGTCTCTGTTTTCATTACAAGTTGACCGTGGGTCAACTTTCTAAGGAAAAGACTTTGACAAAGAAAGCTTCTCCATTATGGATCAGTGGTACAAATAACCTTTCTCTTTCAAAAAATATCTGTCCAAACATTCTTTTTCTTTACATGGTTCAAGGTGTAATCCTATATTTTAAAATGCTGCATAAGATTCCAGTAATCTTGTCTCAGAAACACAAAGCAAAAAAGAGTTTAATTATATTCTGTTATTAAGCATTATGTGATCTCTCTCTTTGCAGTAATTTTAAAAACACATACATCAAATTCTTTTTGCAAATGCCCATTGAAAATGACTGGAATGTGACATGAATTGTTGAGTTATTTAATTGCTATAAAATAAGATAGTGACAGATTTCAAGCACAAAATATGGTATGACCATAAAAAAAATCTTGATTTGTATACTTTAAACCAACTGAAACATTACTTATGCTTAAAATTCTTAAGAGACTCTTCATTATTTATGAAAATCAAAGAAAAACATCTTGTTAAAGCACAATACAAATTGGAAAATAAACATTTTTAGAAACTATGTATTTTACCAGCGATAATAAAGTTGGATATAAAATTACTTAAAACTTGTAATGCAAGCACTTTTACATTCTCATTGAAAAATGACAACCTTATGCAATTTATAAATCAGATGTTTTCCAATTATAAAAATATAATTTGGAAACCAATATGTCATTTAGAACTGTTTCTCTCATACAACTGCACTCATGGCACTGGAACATTCCATTTCTTACTGAGCAATATTCTTTGGGAACTTTTATAAAGCTATCATAGCAAAACTGTACAATAATGGTGTATAAATGAAGCAAACATGAAATATAAGATATGGCAGGGAAAGCACTTGCTCTTCTAGATGTTCATATGGCACATTTGACTCAATATTTGTCAGCTTGCAACATGCCCTTTAGAACATGGAACCTAGAATTAAGATTGCAAACACTACTTGTAATCTCCCCCTACAGTTTAAGATAATAATGTAATTCTCTACTTTTGCTTTATCAATATATCCATTAATTCAACACTGTTATTTTTTATCACCATACTACTGTATGTATCACACACATACCACACTAAAATTCATGATATTTATTACATAATCTACTCATAAAAAATAATTTGCCATTTTGTACATGTTCAACTGATTCTCTGAAGAATTCTTTTAAGATTTAATATTAATTTTGAAAGAACATCATTTTGTTTCTTCTGGCCATGATCCCATACATTTCTGTTCTTGATTCTTTCATTCAGTATTTTAGCATAATCTCTCAAATGCATGCTACCACAAATTTAATATGTGTCTTTTGTCCTCATAGGAGATACAGTGGAAGAGTTGTGCAGATCTGAGTTTGACACCCAGTTTTGCAATTACTAACTTCTAGATATGAGATAAGTTGTTTAATTTCTTTGAAATTCAGTTCCCTCATCTGTGAAATTGGAATAATTTTACCTTGTAAGGTGTTAGAGCTGGTGATCAGATAACATAAACTCATCAAGAAACTTATGTTTCCTTTATTTTTAGCCATGTTATATAAGTGTAAAGGATTTGGTCCTTCTACACTCCACCAGAGGCTTTCACTCTGATCAATAGGAATCATAAACTGCACTACCCATTAGAAATGTTCCACTTTTTTTATATCATGTCCAAAAGAATGTCATGTAGGATTATGTAAATGCCTTCTAAAAATAAAAATAAATTATATTTCTGTCATTCTAATCTATGATTTTAGAGATCTTATTCAAAATTTGTTACATCTGTTCCTAAGATTTCCACTGTAAATATTAATGACCATTTCTTTTTTAAGAAACCTAAATTAATTTACTTTGAAAAATAAAAAAAGGCTTTTTATATTTCTAAAATTTTTCTCAGAATCTTTATTAAGCTTATAGAACCATGGTTTTCAAAAAAAGAAAAATTAATGCTGACTTCCTGTTCTCTGGCTTATTTTCCGTTACTGGCAGAAATGACCAGTGTACTGATATAAATTACCAAGGCTATGATGTTCAAACTTAGGACACAGGAGGCTTATCTCCTTGACTACTCTGAGTTTCTGTGCTTGTATTTCTACTGCTTTGAATTTCTTCTCTATTTCAGAATTTTTCTTCTTTTTTTAAATTAATTTTTTTATTTTAACTGGAGGCTAATTATTTACAATATTGTAGTGGTTCATTAATATAATGTATTAGTGTTTTTCTTTCTGACTTACTTCACTCTGTATAATGGGATCCAGTTTCATCCACCTCATTAGAATTGATTCAAATGCATTCTTTTTAATAGCTGAGTAATATTCCAATGTGTATATGTACCACAAATTTCTTATCCATTTGTCTGCTGATGGACATCTCGGTTGCTTCCATGTCCTAGCTGTTGTAAACAGTGCTGTGATGAACATTGGGGTATGTGTCTCTTTCTATTCTGGTTTCCTTGGTGTGTATGCCCAGCAGTGGGATTGCTGGGTCGTATAGCAGTTCTAGTTCCACTTCTTTAAGGAATCTCCACACT